AAAATTTACGCAATAAAATTGAAAAATTCCCAAAGAAATTCTTATTCTTATAGAAATCATAATCTACAGTTCTTTCCACAGTTTATCCGAGATCGTGGCTCCGCTATTTTTAAGATACATTTCTCATCGTCAAAAGGAACCAGCTGGAATTACTCCATCAAAATCTAAACTCTACATTCACAGGAATTCCATTTACCTTCGAAACAGAGGCAAACGAACAACTTCCATTCTTAGATGTCCTCGTACACAGTAAGACCGATGGAACTCTCCATGCGTCAGTTTGTCCTAAAGATGCATTCTCTTGGGCCATGTTTCATTTTGGGAGTAACCACCCAAGGTCTCACAAACTTGACTCTATTGACAGTCGAGCGAAAACGCACTGTTGCGATGAAGAATCGATGAAACAGAACTGAAATACCGTCTCAATTTATTTTCTCAAAATGGATATTCTCCGGACTTTGTTCTTCGACGCATACGCCAAAAGGGTATTTTCGGGGATATCACCACTGAAGCGCCAAAATTACCGAGCTGTCGAACTTTCCCGTACGTAAAGAATGTATCTGAGCTCGTCGAGACCCAGTTAAGAAAACAAAGCGCACACAGACCCACGATTATGTTGTGCACCAAGTTTGTGTACTCTAAGGACAGGGTTAGCTAGTTAAACAGAAAGAAATCGTCTACAAAATACTGTGTACCAGTTGTTTTGCAGTGTCTTGTGGTCGAAACGGAAAATCTCTACCCATTCCTATATATAAACACCAGTTTGCGGTGAGACTGGATCACTTATCCCAGATTGCAATGCACACACTCTACACAGGACATATTTGCCGAGGGTAGAACCCCAATCGTTTGCGCCTGCTCAACCAGGAATGGCCACGAATCCCTTGAGGCCGTGTACTCAAACGAGACGTGAATTAATAGGCATATCGCTTTAGATGCTAATTGCAAGTTTCTCAAGGTCAGATAAAAGCAAACAGCCAATATTGGCCGGATAATTAAATGCAGGTGACGCTTATTGGCTTACCCTCTAGAAAACCATAAAATTAACTGCTTTTTCGTTCATCTGTCAGTTGTCTGACCATGTGCTGGGGGAACAGTTTCGAAAATTTACACAGTAAATGTTATTTTGTTCGCTTGTTTAACGATATATATCATGAAATATCTACCAAG